ACTGTCTTGCCCTGACTTGCACTCTCTTTTATTGTTAAGTTTACTAGTTTTTGAGAGTTGCCAATATGTGTTTTAAGCCCCAATTCCTCGTTATGTTGCTTATGACAACTTCAACTGTGATAATTGAAATAAGAACGGAAGGCATTATGGCAAAAAGGAAGGAAATAGACGCTGCACTTTTGAACGGTTGCTACTTATTATCGCTCGTGGATAATTTGTACCTGCTTCTAGGTGTCAAAGCAGAACCCGACCTGATCCGAGTAATCTGCACGTTTAACTCGACCCGCAACCTATTTGCTACCCGATTAAACTTGAACCAGATTGACTCACAACCTGATCAGCTCGTAACTTGATTAAACCTGAACCCGATTGACTCGCAACCTGATTGAACCCGAACCCGACTAACCCACAACACGATTGGCTCGAACCTGACTAACCAAAATCCGCCCGATTGACCCGAATAAATACTATATTATATAATATAGTCTTTCAAAATGATGTTTTTGGTTCTAAACCAAGGCAAATCCATTTTTTCATTTCACCAAGTGATGTTCAAAATCTAAAATTTACTTGAAATGATATATTTTAATAAAACTATAAAAATTAAAACATGACGTTCACTTGAACATTAAGCTCATCTTGAAAACTACAATTATGTGGAATATACTGAAAAATGGACGATTAAAAGTTTTTTGTTGCAAATTAATAATCAGCAACATATCACCTAATTGCTTCTCAATATTAGTTTTTCTACTAAATAAATACATAAAAGTTTTCTTGTACATCTATAAGATATATGAAGCCAAAACAAGGGTTGAGTTTGCAGGGATTCAAAATTCCTGTGCAGAGAGGGTTTTGCGGAGGGGCCCAATTGTAATTGACTCCTTTAAGTTAAACTGTGCGTTTTGGCCATGTTTCTCCTGGTGGACTATATGTTAGTCAAATGGGCCAGGGCAATACATAGACAATTAATGGCCCAATATATCCCCTTGGCAGAAAAAAAATTGCTAATTAATTTTCTTAACAATGTTCATTCCCTGCAACCATTAAAATAATGTCCATTCCCTTCTATTAAAAGAAATGTCCATTCCCTATTCAAAGCATTCGACTAATTCAAAATTATATAAGGTAATAAAATTTGAGAAGGAAATCATTTTTCCTATAAAAAAATCATTCATACCAACATTAAAACGTGTTGAATTGAGTAAAGTAATTGAATAATTTGATTAAGCCATATACTATATATGTTTTTCTTGCTATACTTCGTAATAACTAATGTTTTTATTATTTAAAATTAAAATATTAATATAATAATGACACTCTCATTGCGCTATTGATTTCAAATATTTGAAGACGCTTTCTTGCTCCCACTTCACGAACTGGATACCTCAATTATTGTGTTTAAAAAGTGTGAAATACTTATAATATTCTTATTTACTAGGCATTTATTCATTATTGTATTTTAACGGTTCATTACCAGTTAAATCACTAAAGTGTGAACCGTTGAGTATTCCGGTCCAAACTCCAATTCGGTTTTCACAACATTGGAACTAATAGATTAATGAATTTCTGTTTTTAAAGTTTTGATCGATACAGACTATGGAAAATTTGCTTCTGGTGTTGAATATGTGTTATTGGCGAGCTTATTTTGTGGTGACAGAACGAATGAAATTATAGATGTATGAAAAGTGAAGAGGGAAATATTCTTGGTATGTTATTTTCTATATCATGGAAGTAGAGATTGAAGCTTTCTCCTTATTCTATTGCCATTTTTTTACTTAGTTGAGAGTATTTATTGTTCCTGTTTCCCCTAAAACCGACTCCTTCCCCTGGAAAAAACCTTCCCACAAAAAATAACTTCTCAATTAAAGCTAACATATATATTTCCCGGCTAAGCTTAATGGTAATATCTCATTTGAGATCTTATTGTAGAAGAACACCGAGCAAAAATATATTTTCTTATAAATGAGCAAAAATAAATAAAGAAAATTGGATAGGTATTATATCTTCGTTTATGGGTAATATGTTCTAGAGCTTGATTTTATCAAATATGTAAAGAAAAATAATGTTAATACATATGTATGTGTAAAGTTGGGAGGGTTCAGGTTGGTTAGTAACAAAATCATATCCACTCATTAACAAATTTTAATTTTATCTATACCAACTGAATATTCTTCGGGTTTGAGTTTTACCCTACCCGGTTGATCGGATTCTCGCGAGTATCAACAGTTGTGGATATTTTTATGCCACATCGAGAATTTGATGTATTTTGAAAATAATAAAGTTTGTGATGGAGAAGAGATAAAGAGGAGATTAAATTAATTTAATTATATATTGGTTAGTGTAGAGAGATTGAGAAGGAATATAGAGAAATGACTTAATGACAGGAATCCTTTAATTATGATAATGAATTCATTTTAAATTATGTAACTATTTAAAGGTCACATGCAAAAGTGGTAATTAATATTTAACTATCCAAAAAAATTGAGGATTTAATATTTAATCATTTTTAAAATTTATGTAATGTTTTTACTAAAAAGTAGGTTTAACCTCCCACACAAATTTGTTTTCACCTAATTTGAAAATTGTTGTTAATTTAAAATGATTACATTGCAAAATATTACCAGAGTTCGTACTAAAAATAGTCAATGATATGATGTTTTATGTTGAAAATGTTGTTCAACAGTTTCGTACTACTAAAAGTGTCTATAGAGCTTAGGCTCCGATAAACTTTTTTATGCCAGATCGACGATATGGTACAATTATGTAAATACTAATTAAATTTAAAAATATGGTAATAAGAGCACTAAACTATCTTTTCAAGGAAATCATTACTGAACAGGGTTTTTGTTTTCAAGTTTCATTTTCAAAAGTCTAAAAAATTCCCAGTTAATTTGGTTTTTTCTATGAAATGGTAGTTTTCTTTCGATCGTGTTTTGTTTTACATTGTGGAGGAAATAAAACATAATTGTTACTGAGTTTCATCATCCCCTTTCTCTTGACCCAGAAATACATTCCTTTCGACTTCCCTTCTCCTTCCATCAAGTTTGAGTCTCCCAGTGACATCTTTCCCTTTTTCATAATCTACCAGAGTCTTTATGTAATGCACTTCCTTTTGTCATTCGGTCAAAATTGCTTTCCCGCTCCTAGATTCATTCGTCTTTGTAGGTGAGATTATTGCAAAAGCATGCATATTTTCTTTTTAAATTAAATCTTGGGGGCTAGGCACGTAAAAATTGAAATTGGAAATGAATCTTTGGTACTTGGAAGAGTCTAACTTTGTTACCTATTGTGGGAAGGATTGCATCAATTTTGTTGAATATGTTATCAAATTTTTCTCTTGGTGCGAGATTTCAAATATATATTTTTCGGTTACCGTGGAACCATAAGATCTTGGTGATATTTAGTTTTCAATTTATTGAAGTACTTAATTTATGTCCCTAATCTCTTTTGTGCTTATTAAGTGAGTATGGAACTTAAGAGACAAAAAATATTAAATTTGGGGCTAGCAATTTAGGTCATTCGTTTGTGGCTATCAATCTACAACGGGCCCTCTCAAATAATACACTTTCATATCTATAACCTGTGTCGTGATCAACAAAGATGACAAATACTAGAAAACATTTTCATTGATATGTTGTACTATATCAAAGATCAAATATAATGTTTTATTTGTAAATATGTATATCGCTATCAGTTGCATATATTTGCTATTTACACGCATTATAAATGGTAACAACACATAAAAAATGCATAATAATCTTTGCTATTTACACACATTATAAGTGGTAACTACACATACAAAATACATAATAATCTTTGCTATTTACACACATCATAAGTGGTAACAATACATACAAAATAGATAATAATCAAACTTCCCAGCCAACAAGCCGGCCCAGTGCTAGGGATTATCAGATTGGTGAGGATAAAGAGATAGATTAGAAGAAATCATTGTAGAATCCGAGGAAGATAAAGCATTAATTCGCTCTATCCGCATGGATAGTTTAATTTCAGCTTCTCCCATAAACACTTTCATACAACAGTTTTTAGATAAAACTTTCATAGATATTAATAAACATATATTTTTTTGGGCTAAAATTTTGTACAAACATGATTATATTACAAAAGTTACGAAAACAAATGAACTATTATCAATTGGGTTTATAGTTCAAAGTTTACCAAATAATAAGATTATGTGTAGGTTAACCGCCCAACGGGGCGGGCCCGGTGCTAGTAAGGTTAACACCAAAATAAGTAACATGAAACATCACTAAAATTGAATTAACGAAGAGCGCTCCGTTTTCTTCGGGGCCAAGGAAAAACCCTAATTGAGCGAACCCGGAAATCACCGTTGACTCTCCATGACCGCGCCTGCGCCGGGGGCGCCTCCCCTGGTGGCCGGCAATGCTGACGCGGGGACTGGCCCCTGCCGCCCTCCAACTTCATCGCCAAAAGGAAAAGGGGAGAAGGAAACCCAGCAACCCAAGAAGAAAGCCAAGGCCATGGTAGATAACCCGCTGTTCGGGGAGGAAGCCATGGTGGAAGATGAGGTTCACCCGCAGTCGGCCTCGACTGGGGAAACTTAGCAAGAGAATCACAACCGGAACTCAACTTGGACAGGGGGAAGAGCTCGCAGGCTGTTTGTAGATTCACTAGAAGATGACAAGTGGTATGTGGCAGAATCCGACTCGGAGGATGTAGCGGAAGCAATGCGAGAGGACGATCTCGATGATGAAATCCCGGAAGACGATGACCCACGATGCCCCACGATAGCTTTTACAGCTATGGAAAAACAACGCTGAAGAAGACAATGGCGATCGGCCCTCATTGTTAAAGTGCTGGGACGGTCGTTCCCCTTTCCAATCATTGCACGACGCCTTGAATCGTTATGGGCGAAGACAGGCAACTTGCAAGTTTCGAGCCTATCATATGGTTTCTATACTGTCTGTTTCACCAACCAAATCGACTATGAGAGAGCGGCAGCTGGTGGTCCATGGATGATTGGTGATTACTACATCACGGTCCGCCCATGGCGGCGCAACTTTAATCCACAATGGGCTGAAGTAGCGACGACAATGGTCTGGGGGCGCTTGCCGGGGCTCCCGAGGGAATTCATAAACAAGGAGGCAGTCGAGCGTATTGCTGGGAAGATAGGTCGTCCAGTTCGGGTCGACAATGCAACAGAAACTGGAGATAGGGGAAAATTTGCGAGGGTTAGTGTTGAGGTTGATCTCACAAAACCGTTGTTATCGCAATACAAGATCGAGGGTATTACATACTACATTGAATACGAAGGGCTGTTCCGCATCTGTACCGAATGCGGGAAGTATGGTCATGTGAAAGCAACGTGCCCAACACTGGCCAAAAATCCTGCCTCGCCTCAGCCTGAATCGCACAGCCCAAAGGATGATAGCAACGCACAAAACCTCTACGGGGAGTGGATGACGGTTCAGCCTCGAGGCAGGAATGGGAAGAGAGGAAGAGGAGCTTTGGCGGGTTCGATAGATGATGGGGGCCATGGTAACATATTGGGACAAAAAGAGAACCTGGCGACAGGATCCCGCTTTGCGGTATTGGAGGAAAATCCCATGCAGGGCGTGATCAGTACCCATGCAAACCCTTCCAATATTGAGCCAAACGTTGACAAGGATGGTGAAATGAGTACAGATCAGATGGTCACAGAGAAGCCTAATGAAGAGTCCATTGTGATGGCCCCTTCCAAGAACTCGGGAGACTTGGGGGAAGAGCAACCCTCAGCGACCGTGGGAAACCATAGCAAGGCAGTTGAGAAAACAGTAGGGCCGCCGGAAAAAGCTGGAAAGGAACGAAGAGAAGCCTCAGTTGGGGCGCACAAACCTCCAAAGGGAAGCTCTGACCCGGCTGAGGCCATAGCCAAACTGTATAACGGCAAAGAGGCTACGAAGCAGCTGGGAGCAATAAATGGGAGCAATGGGACCTCGCGAAAACAGGAGCAAGCCTTGGCCTAAAAAATGAAACAACCGAATTCTAGTGGAAAGTCGAGAGATGGAAAAAATGGTGCGGGGAACCGATCCCCTTCTGGTAATAGATGAGGATTTTAGCGTATAACTGCCGCGGATTGGGGAATAAGCGCGTAGTTAATTCGTTGCGGGCACTTTTGCGCCGCACTTCCCCCCAGGTGATTTTTCTTATGGAAACAAAACAAACGAAGGACGAGAATGAAGTGTTACGGGAATCGTGTGGTTTTACGAAGGGTGTATGTTACCCTGCTTCTATGTCTCAACGAAGCAGAGCCGGAGGGGTTAGCATATGGTGGACAGAGGAGCTCGATATAGTTATGAGGGACATGTCCCTTCATTTTGTAGATATTGCGGTTACAGAAGAGAAGGAGGGTAGGTGGCGATTCACTGGGCTGTATGGGTGGCCGAATGGTAGTGAAAAGTGGCGTACCTGGGAGCTCCTAACCTCTTTAAGCCAACAATGGGATGGACCATGGCTGTGCGGAGGTGATTTCAACCAGGTACGGTCTGTAGAGGAGAAAAGTGGAGGGCGCATTGCGCAGGAGGTGGATATGGAAAATTTTGAAAATTGCCTACGGATGTCAGGGTTACAAGATCTGGGGTTCCATGGGTACCCTTTTACTTGGGAGAATAGACGGGCTGGCGGAGACTATATTGAAGAGAGGCTTGATCGGTTTGTATCCAATGACATCTGGCAACAACTGTTCCCAAGTTTTCATGTTTGACATTGGGACAGGGCGAGATCGGACCATAGGCCTATACTATGTGATACCCGGGGCAATGAGGACGAGGACATTCGGTGGGGCAAATCGTTTCGATTCGAACCATACTGGACTAAACATGAAGACTGCGCGAAGGTTATTGGTGATGCATGGGGGCAGGCGGCCCAACCTGACATTCTACAAAGATTTGCCAACTGTCGCAGAAGCTTAGAGGAGTGGAGTCGAGCCACTTTCCCGCGCTTTGCCAAGCAGAAGGAGAAAATAATCCGGGCTCTCCGGATACTTGAGAGGCTGCCGAAGACGGAACCAAATTTGCAACAGTGTAGAACGCTTGAGGAAGAAATGACCGAACTACTTGAGAATGAGGAGCAGCACTGGAAACAACACTCAAGGGCAGATTGGCTTAAAGGGGGAGACAAGAACACAAACTTTTTCCACCGGAAAGCATCTGCTCGGCGAAAGAGAAACACCATCAAAAGAATTCGTGATGAGGCAGGCAGGTGGCATGTGGGTCAACAGGAGGTCTCGAAATGCATGGTTGATTACTACAGTAACTTGTTCACTGCAGGTGATGTTCCTGGAGAGTGGCCGGTCCTGGAGGCTGTGTCGAACAGACTGGGTCAAGAGGACAATGCGAGCCTCCTCAGACCTTTTGCCAAGGAGGAGGTGTACACGGCTCTGAAGCAGATGGGGCAGAGAAAAGCCCCGGGAGCTGACGGTTTATCTGTTCTTTTCTTTCGCAGGTACTGGCATCTGGTTGGGGAAGATGTCACTGCCACTGTCATGCAGATCCTGGAGTCAGGAGAGATGCCGGAGGACCTCAATCATACCCTCATCGTTCTCATTCCGAAGACGAAGCAGCCGAACTCGCCGAAGGAGTTCAGACCGATCAGCCTATGCAATGTCCTCTACAAGATTGTATCCAAAGTACTGGCGAACCGCCTAAAGCCTCTACTTGACAAGATCATATCCCGAGAGCAAAGTGCTTTCGTTCCAGGGCGTTTGATTACTGACAATGTTATGGCGGCATTTGAATGCTTCCATACTATGAAGAAGAGCAAAAGAAGGAAGCATGGCTTCTTTGCTGCAAAAATCGATATGGCAAAGGCTTATGATTGGGTCGAATGGCACTTTTTAGAGGGGATTATGCGGAGAATGGGGTTTGCGGAGCAGTGGATAAAACTGGTCATGATGGGTGTGAAGACTGTGTCGTATTCGGTGCTCGTGAATGGACATCGCTCTGAAATGTTCATTCCGAGTAGAGGATTACGACAGGGGGACCCTTTATCGCCTTACCTTTTTCTGCTCTGTGCGGAAGGGTTGTCGGCCTATACAACCAAAGCTCAAAGCGAGGGGCGGTTGCATGGGCTAGAGGTGGTGAGGGGGCCCCCGGTGATTACCCATCTCTTTTTTGCTGACGACAGTATCTTTTTTGCCAGGGCTACACAACAGGAGAGCTCAGAGCTTAAACAAATACTGGAGGCGTACGCACGGGAATCCGGCCAGCTCATCAATTACCAAAAGTCAGAGGTATCCTTTGGCGCTAACGTCAAACCGCACCACAAGCTTGTAGTCGGGGGTACTCTGCACATGAAGGTGGTGGAGAAACAAGATAAATATCTTGGTTTGGCAACGGAGGTAGGGCAATCAAAGAAAGCGCTGTTCGCGAGTCTGAAGGACAGGGTTAGAAAGAAGCTAAAAGGATGGAAGGAGAGAACGATGTCGGCGGCGGCGCGTGAGGTACTCATCAAATCGGTGGCACAAGCTCAGCTAACCTATCCCATGTCTGTGTTCAAAATACCGGATGGGATCATTGATGAGATTCACAGCCTGTTCACAAATTTCTGGTGGGGGCAAAAGGGTACTGAGCGGCGATCCCATTGGCTGCGGAGAGAAGAACTACTACTTGAAAAAGAGAATGGAGGAATGGGTTTCAGGGACATGAAGGGATTTAATATGGCAATGTTGGCTAAACAGTTATGGTCCATCTACCAGCGCCCGGAATCACTGGTAGCCAAGTTGCTTAAAGCCAAATACCACCGGCGAAGCACCATTCTGGAAGCAAGTGTCGGGTATCAGCCGAGTTACGTTTGGCGAAGTCTGATGGGAGTGCAAGAATTTCTGAACAAAGGCATCCGTTGGCGAATCGGAAACGGTGAACAGGTGAGGATTTGGGGAGATAGCTGGCTGCCGGATGGAGAACACCTGTTTATCACGTCGGCCCCTCAAGAACTAGCTGTGGATGCTCTGCTCAGCGAACTGATCGACCCGGAAACGCAGCAATGGGATTATGAGATGCTGCGGCGATGCTTCCCTCAACCGATTGTTCAAACAATTCTCACTATCCCGCTCCGTGGGTTGAATGAAGCCGATCGCATGATTTGGCACCATAGCGGCAATGGAGAATACACGGTGAAGAGTGGCTATCGGTTATGGCTGGAGGATTTCAAAATAAAAAGTGGGCTTACAGCCTCAGGAGATGGAGGGCTATGGAAGAAGTTATGGGCCCTGAACACTCCCCCAAAGATCCGCGATTTCCTGTGGCGTTTTGCCCGGAACATTCTGCCGACGGGTCAGAAAGTGAGCGCTCACAGTGAGAGGTGGAGTGATGAGTGCCCCTACTGCGACCAGGCCGAGTCTCAACGTCACCGCTTCTATGATTGTAGCTGGAGCAGCCGGATTTGGAGAAATTCCCCGTTTATCAACGCCTTTGAGGTGCCGGGGGTGGTCGACTGCTTTGAATGGGTATTGAGGGTGATGGAGACTTGCTCAAGGGAGGAGGTTGAAGGATGGGCTACCCTTTTATGGGCACTCTGGAAGGAAAGAAACACACAACTCTTTAACAAAGACAAGTGGCCGGAACAGGAAATTGTAGCTCGGTCTCAAGCTCTGCTTGCTGAATATCAAAGATGCCAGGTAAATGTGGAGGTTGAGACGGCTGCAGCTCATTCGATATCATGGATAAGACCGCCTGAAGGCTGGATCAAAATTAATACAGACGCGGGGCTGCAGCAGGATGGAGGGGCAGGGCTGGGGGTCGTGATCCGCGATCATCAGGGGCTGTTCATTGCTACAGCGGCGAAGAAGATTTCAGGTAATCACAGTGTAGAGCGGGCGGAAGCTTTGGCCGCTGAATTCGGAGTGCAGCTAGCCCATCAAATTGGCATCTCCCGGGTCGTACTCGAAATGGATTGTCTTGTTATTGTCGAGCTTCTTAAATCATCAACGAGCCCCATGAATGAAGTGGGAGTTCTCTGCCGAAGCATACGGTAGCTCTTGGGGTAGGTTGGTTCCCATACAGGTATGGTGCTTCATGCCAGGAGAGAAGCGAATAAAGCGGCACACATCATGTCTAGAAGTGATACCCATTGGGATTGTCGAGAAGTGTGGCTTGATAGGCCTCCGATCTTTTTAGTTGACCAGCTGTTGCTGGACGATGTAACCTGCAGTTCCTTCTTAACTTAATATAAAGCAGGTTGCCAATAAAAAAAAAAAAAAAACATGAAACATCACTAATACGTTATCAAGTATGTGAATTCCCAATGTTAAAAGCAACCCAACTCCTCTGTTTATTGATTATCAATGAAGGATTTACTAGGAAAATTTATATCTGTTGGGGGTATTACCTAGCAACTAGGAGTTCGGGCCCCCAAAAAGGAGAATTGGGGGGCAAGGCCCGAGAAGGGTTCCACTAGAAGCCCTTGGGCCCAGGCAAGGGGAAGGGCCCAAGGAATAAAGCACTAAAAGCCAAAATGAGACCAGCTGTCAGGTGGTCCACTGCCTGCGGGCGCCTGTCGTGTGTCAGGAGCCTGACAAGGCAGTTGGATGTCTCACAAAAGGGACACAGAGCATTAAATGGGGGCAGTGACGTGGAGGAGATCAACCTCGAGTTCGGTGAGTATAAATAGGGGCAGTTGGTAGCATTTACACAGGTTGGACTCTCTCTCACCAAAGAACACTTCTCTCTCTAAGGAACTAACTTGGGCGTCGGAGGATTAACGGGCCAAGGCGCCCTCCTCTTTGTGTGTGCAGGCAGGCGCCGACGGAGGGTGGCACCCGAAGTATCGAGGGGTATCGTGGCTCAAACAATATCCATAGTAATAAATTACTAACGAGGTTTTTCAGCTTACTAAGGTTAAGATTCACTTGCCTACTTACTTAGGTCAATCAGTTCCTCTTTTGTCTTGCCCAATCATCACGATTTTCCTCGGTATTTTTTTTCCCATCTGCCTTTAGAGCACAAGGCCCCGATAAATCCCGGCAAGC